GAGATGGCCACAAGCTGGCGAAGCCATTTCCACCACAATCTGTCACAATCTGGGCAGTTTCCACATCTGCCCCATTCTCCACCATTCTCCATCCCCCAGAAGCAATCCTTCAGCCATGGACCGCATCATTCCAGCTCTCCCTGCAAGGCACCCATCCCACCTGGGCCACCACCATGTCTTTGCTGAAGCTCACCTGGTCCAGCATGGTCAGGTCCCCTGCTCCAGGCACATCAGAGGAGGAAAACTTCCCAGCTCCCCACCACGGGAAGGCAGGCAGGCTGAGTGTTGACAGCCCATACGGGTAGAAGTACCAAGCTCCTGGACATGTAAAGGGATAAGATGGTTAAAGCCACAGGCTGCTAATGGGCCACAGCCGGGGATAGGGTGGACGTGCAGAGACTCAGCCATCAGCATCCCCTGGGATTACCAGGAGGTCCCAGCACAGTGGAGCAGATGGACCATGTTACCAGGAGCCATGAGCACTGGGAGCCGTCCCATCCCCCAGGTATGGCAGTGGCATGCTCTGCACTGCCCCAGACCTCAGGGCAACACGTGGAGTCAGGCTGGCTTACCGTAGGCGGCAGCAGCGAGGAGCAGGAGAAGCAGCAGTAGAAGCAGGGACTTCTTCACACGTGGGTAGCGCCTGGAGCATAGAAAAGGAATAGGCACCTGTAGGACTGCAGCCACCTTTCCACCACCTCTGGATGGGGGCCGAGGGAAAGCAAAGTCCAGATGGGCTTTGGCATCAGACACGCCCCTGCTCCAGGGTCCTGCAGGTTTTCAACACACCTCCCCGCTCCTGGTGTCCCACCACCACACTCACCTGGAGAAAGGGACGCTGTCCAGGCGGGGAGCTGTGCCAGTGAGGCGGCGCCAGGCACCTACCAGCCCTGAGAACAGCCATGTCATGAACCGAACTGCCAGGAGGAAAAACAAGCCTCAGGAGGGGTCCTGGTAGAGATGTCCCCTCCGTCCCCCAGGGATGATCCTAGAAGGGGAAAAAACCCCTTCACCTGATCAGGGAACAGCACACACAGCACTTAGGGAGTAGAGACACTGACAGACAAGAATGCTGCTGCTGGAAACGCCCCTGCCAGCCCTCCACTCACCTGGGGAGGTGAACACCTGCCAGAGGAAGAAGCCTACCCGGGAGGCTGCAGTCCTCAGACCTGACCCAGAGCTACTTTGGCCTGAGTAAAAGTGACCTGGAAAGGAAGAAGCAAGTCACCAACAGAGCCAGCATCCCACGGCACTGCTCAGGGCAAAGCCTTTGCCCTGGAGGTGGCATGCAGGGGGGATTGGCAGCACCCTGGGTATGGCCAGGCCCTGAGCCAGTCCCCCAGGAATGTCTCCTTGCATCCCTGCCACTGCAAAGAGGCTGGTGATGCCTACCAGCATAGTCATCTTCTGAGGAGTACCCAGATGAAGAGGCATAGGTGTCGTACGTCTTGCTCTCCAGCAGCCCGTTGATCTTACTGGACTCTGTGTCCCCTGTGCCTCTTCTCCTCCTGGTAGAGAGCTCCCCACCTGCTCCCAAAACACAGAGTCCCGCTGAGAAACCACCCACCACCACTTCCACAGGGGGCAACCCATCAGCCACCCTGGGGGGCTGCCCCAACACCTCCCCCCACAGTGCTGCAGGAGGCTGGGAGGGCTCACCCCAGTACGTGCCACTGTCCAGGTCATCATCCAGCATGGAGCTGCCCAGGGCAGCAAGGCCCCGACTGCCCCCCAGGTAGGACTCGCTCATCATGGACTCGCTGTAGTAGGAGGTCTGGGTGCTGGGGGCGGGAGAGAGGCGCTTTGTGCTGCTCGATTTCCTCCTGATCGTCCTGCCGGAGGCGAGAACAGGCTCATCAGACATGTGTGGTTACTGCGTGGGGGATCACAGTGCACCCACGGGGGAGAAATGGGGAATTCACCCCAATCCCTCGACCGGCATCACTTCCCCTCTGCACCAGACGGCAGCAGGTCTCGGAGGGTGCAACCTCTGCTTTGCAAAAGGCCTTCCCGCCCGTCCACGGGCATCGCTTCCGCTCGCACCGCTGCGGTTTTCCGGCCGGCACTAACAGCGCACCTCCCTCCCTCCCTCTCTCTGCCTCCCGCCATCCAGTCGGAGGCAGCTGCAGCTGGGAGGAGGCACCCAGCCAGCCACGGCAGCTCCCGTGTCGGGGCAAAGGTGCCCAGACAGGGAGAACGGGGCTTTCGCTGGAGCAGGGGCACAGCCAGTGCCAAGGCGGCCGGCGGCCATGCCGGAATGTGCCGGGCTCCCCGTCACGCTCCCTCCTGCGAGCCATCCCGACACCCCACCCGGGAGGATACCCGGTCCCTGGTGTCCCTGGGATGGAGTGCCCAGCCCCAGCCAGGTTTGGGAGGGGGAGCCCTCCCCCACCCCTGCACCCCACCAACCTGCCGGCGGTCTCCTTGAAGGGGAGCTGTGTCCCACCCAGCAGAGAGGTGCCGCTGCTGCTGGTCGTGGCATCGTCGTCCCCGGGGTAATAGCGGGTGGTGACAAGGCGCTGACTGCGGCGGGACATGGCGCCTGCACGGGGGGAGGGCACGGCTCACCTGGGGGCGGGCAGGAATGTCGGAAAAGAGAGGGAATTATCAGTAGGAGGGACCCACCGGCGGGGACCCCACCCCTGTGACAGCGGATCCCGCACACACCGAACCCCCTCCCGAGCTGGTGCCCCGGGATGGAGCCACCTCCCCTTATAGGGCGATAAAACTCTTCCTCTCCTCTCCTCTCCCCTCCCACTCACGCGAGGTCCCACCCGCGCGTGGAGCCGCTGCCCCGCCGGTCCCTCCGAACACTCCCGGCCCGACTCATCACCTTCCCCCCCACCCCGGGCCGAGCCCCGGGCCGAGCCGGCCCTCCCGCAACTTCCCCCCGCTCCCCCCGGCCCCGCTCCACGCAAACCCACCGGCGAGTCACGCGCGGCGGGGAAGGAGCCCCCGCCGTCCCTCCCGGCTGATCCTAGCTGATCCCAACCGCTCTCGCCGCCGCTGCCGCTCCCTTTTGTTTTGCGGGGGCAGGCGGCACCCGCCTCCCCGCCCTCCTCCCGGGCCCCCCCCGGCTGCCGCCGCCCCGCCCCGCCCGCCGCCGCGGAGGGGGGGCAGCCACCAGCCCCCCCGGCCTCTGAGGAGCGCTTCGTTGTCCCCTTCTTTGTCATCATCGTTATTATTTATTATTATTATCGCTGTTGACATATTATTTTTATTTTATTTTAACCGTTTTGGGGGGCCAATGGCGAGGGCCCATCCCCACCCCCTGGTGTTCACCAGGACCTCGTCACCAAGAACCTCAGCCCTTGGGTTCCCCCTCGCCAAGTCCACCATAGGCAGTAGTGAGCCCACACTGCCAGACAAGGGCATAGGTGATGCCAGCCCAAAATGGGAACTCCCAGATCTAGGGCTGCGCTCCAACCCCGTTTGGGTTTTGCTGGGGTGGCTGGGTTGCCAGTCCCGGTGGGGTGGGAAATACCCACACCTCTTACACCACCTGGCACGAGGACACAGCCAAGCCTATCCCTGCGGCGTGGGCAGCCCTGCTCAACGCCCATGTGCCCCACTGCCTTGACCGGGCAGGCGTGTTCTGCTGTTCCCCAGACCCGTGGCCTCAGACAGCCCACTACCATTGCTCTCCTGCACGGGTGGCTGGGCCGGCTTGGCAGGAGGGTGTGAGCCAAACTAGGCTGCTCCCACGGGACCTTGAACCTCGGCAGCACAGCTGGGACCTTGTGCAAACTCACCAGGCTGAAGAAACAGCTGCCCTCCCACGCCCTGTGTTTTAAATCCCACGGTACCTCAGAAAAAGATTTGCCGGGCAGGGCTCTGTGAGTGGGGGGAACCAGCTGCCTGTGTCTGGACATGGTTGTTAGGCCACGTCCATGGGGCATGGTGCAGGAATGGCCCCCTCTCGGCTTTGCTTATGGAGCAAAAAGGTATTTATAGAAAGAGTTAAATAATATGAAGCTGGCAGAAGAGGAAGAACCTGTTGTAAGACAGCCCCGAAACCTTTTCCTCCCTGTGCTGGGGTTTGGGGCACAAGCCAGAGCAGCGGCAGGAGGACGTGCCGCCAGCACTGGGGGGGCACACTGCAACAAACCCTGATTCAGTGGCCCCGGCCCCGTTGTGTAACGCAGACAGATCCTCTTTGTCTCTCTTTTCTTTTTTTTTTCTTCCTTTTGAGCCCATTTTTTGTTCCAGCCTAAATCTCTGCCTGGCTTTTCCAGGGCAGCTCCATCTCTCACTGTGCCAGCCGCCCTTTTTCACCCTTTCCTCTGGCTTCCCATCCCTTTGTGGGTGTCCGATTAGGACAGAGGACATCTCCCCTACTCGGTAGCACATTTATCTCTGGCCATGCTGATGCCAAGCCTGTGCCCCATCCTGGGGACACTGACAGTGGCCCTTGTGATGGCACCTGCCCCAGCTGATGTAACCTTGCACATGGATTAACCCCCCGGGAGGCTCAGGGGATAAGCTGGGTGTTGAGCCACCAGGCACTAAATAGGGTGCATGGCCCCGGGTCAATCCGTCCCCTTCTCAGGAGCCACTTTTTTGGGTGGTAAGGGAGTTGGCAGTGGTTCCCAGGCAATTTGAGGTGTTCCAAGGAGAGTGGGGCTTGTCCCCCTTACTGCACCCCTGGTGCTGCAGAGGAATTGGTGATGCCAGAGCCATGGGGGTTTTCAAGCGGATGAGGGAAGAGCAGGGCAGGGATAAGTAGTGAGTGGCTGGGAGCTTTTGCCTCATTTTCCCCACACCAGCAGTGGGGAGTCTCAGCTCTGTTTTTGGGAGTCACCAGGGCATCACCATGCTGGGGACGGGGTGGGGCAGAAGGAGCTTGCCAACTGCTCCAGTTTGGCAGCTCTTGCTTGGAAAAGGCAGGAAAAATCCCTACCCTTTCCTGAAAGGCTCTTGAGGGATGAAGCGACATGTCCAGGCATGCGAGGATAGGCCATGGTTGGGAAGGTAGCTGTGGTTGGGAGATCTCAGCTCATGTCATCTCCACTAGGCCAACCTTTTTATTTAAAATCTCTCCCTGTCCCAGCTATCCTTACGACCTGCTTTCCTGGTACATCACACCACCAGCTTTGGCACTGCCAAAAGGCCGACACTACACAAAGTCAGAGCTGCATGCTGATCCCATATCATCCTTGGCAGCACCCAAACATACCCCAACCCAGCAGGATACCCAGCCCCCCATCACACCCATGACCCCACATCATCCACCAGCACCTCATCCGGGTGGGCTGCCCTGGCCAGGCAGTGTCCCACCTCCACCAGCACCTTCCCCAGGCGACGGTCCAGCGCCCGTAGGTGGGGCTCAGCCAGGACAGGGGCCAGTGGATCTGTGGCCAGCGCCTCCCGCAGCAGGTCACTCAGGCGGTAGGGCTGGGTGGCCAGCAGCTGCAGACGCAGGTAGGTTGACTTCTTGATGCTGCCAAAGATGAGGAGGGAGATGTCTCAACAGCGGGAGCCTCTCCCGGACAGCAGATCTGGGGCAGGCAGCGGCAGCCCTTTACTACCTGCAGCATTGCTGGAGGGGGGCCAGGATGGACAGTTCATCGCGCGAGTGTGTGCCAAAGCTGGAAATGGGGGAAAGCCCACCAGTGGGTGTCACGGTGGCATTTCAGCAAGACTGGCAGTCTCCCCCCATCCCTTTGCTGTGATTGCTCCCCTCCCCAGCTTTACCCGCGGCCATTGTCCAGGTGGAGCAGGAAGGTGTCATTCCCAAATTTCTCAAAGGTCTCGTAGTGGTGCCGGTCCATGTTGCCTGTGGTGGGCCAACAAATTTGCCATCAGTTTGTGGGATGGGAGATGGGAGCAGGGATACAGAGCACCCTCCAGGTGTGAGACTGAAACCCAAAGGCTGGGGAAAAGGTCTGGAGGCACCTCTAAGGTGCCCATCTGGTGGCCATGGCCATGGAGGGGAACTGAGCAGAGACCCTACCGGCCTCTAGGCCCCTTCTCATCCCAGCAGCCCCACAGAGGGACAACAGTGGCAAATGGAGCAGAAGTAATGGCAAAAGCATGGCTGAGTGGCCAAGAACGAGGAGATGGGAAACTCTCCAAGTCAGATGATGGTAAGGGGACAGTGCAGGGAGGAAGAAGCAGCCCAGGGGCAGGAGAGGCAGCCAGAGCCCTGGGCATCACCTCTGCCTCTGGCTTTCCAGGGGCTGCATGTGGGAGTATGCTGGAAGGTGCTTCCTGAGTCTGGGGTGTTCAGCTGGGATTTCCCCAGCATCTCTTGTCCTTTGACTTCTGCCCTAGTGGCACAGCCCTGTCCTCTCATTTTGGGTAAGAGTGCAGCTAGCTGCAGCCTGAACAAGTTTGGCCAACAAGCCTCACAGGGCACAGCACTGTAGGACACGGAGACATTTGGGCTTCTCTGTCCCAAGGGAGCTCCACAGCCCTCAGCACCAGAATGGAGGGGCTCACCCATAAGGAAATCGAGGATCGTCATGTCAATGAGGTCAAGGAGGCGATGGCCTCTGTCGTAGGGCGGCGTCTCTCGCACCCGAGCGCAGTAGTTGGGGTTCAGCTCCCACCTGCTGGCAGAGGCCGGGGAGGGAACGGGGGCCACTGAGAGTGGCCATGGAGCAGCCCCCTCCCATCCCATAGCTCTGCTGCTCCATGCCCCCCATACCCCCCATGCCGTGGCTCACTCAGCTTTCTTGCTCTTGTGGTAGGAGCGGCGCCAGGGGCTGCGCCAGGAGCGGCGCTTGGCCAAGGTCTTGTCAGGGAGCAGGGCAGCCATGGAGCCCTCCAGCCGGTCCGGCTTGCCACAGAGGGCGTGCTCGGTGGAGCAGTAGTAGGAGCACTCCCCATAGAAGCAGATGTTACCCGCTGGCCATGGGGACAAAGGAAAGGTTGATGAAGAACAGGAAGGCAACAAGCCTGTGACCCCCAGGCAGGGCGGTCTGGCAGGCAGCTGGGGGAGGATGCTCCATGCACTGTGGCCATGCACCACCAGTAACGCAGTGGCAAGGAAGGCTGTGAGGAGCAAAGCCCTGGGGCAGGGGATCCACAGGAGCTGGAGCAGTCCCCAGAGGGATAGTTTGCCCCAGGGCAGGAGCAGACAGGTCCAGCTGAGCTCCATGTGGGTGGCCGCAGAAGAGGATGGATAACCTGGGGAAAGCTCACCTGGGGAGATGAAGAAAGTCTTAGCCAGTTTCTTGTCTGTGGTGATGTCACGAATCTCCTTTGTTATATTCACCAAACGGCCAGAAACTGGGGGGATTCGCCGGAAATCCAGGATCCTGAAATACAGAACTCGGAACCATTTCTTATCGACCCCGGCTGGTTTTCACAGCAAGTTATTAAACCCACCAAGAGGTATCCCTCACAAAAAGGAGGGAGAGATGGGATGAAGGAGCAGTTTCTCTGCTGCTCTGCCAGCATGGGAAGGCAGGGTTGGATGTAAAGCTTATGCTCACCTGTCCAGGTGGAAGGCTGCAATCTCTGCATTGTGCCGCTCAAAGTCCGAGAAGTAGAAGAAATCAACAGGGGTCTCCTGGTCCCGGGTCTGCCTGGGAGGGTGGGGGTCACTCTGAGCGTGGGCTTGGTTCCAAACCACACCTCACCTCATGTCCCCTGGTGACATTGGAGACACAGCAAGACCCAGTCTCCTCCAGTCACTTCCTGATGGGTGGTGTCACTCCAAAACCCCATCCAGGCTCCCACATACTCCTTGCTTCCAACACAAGGGCTGGGAAGCCTCGTGGACTGGAGGCTCCTGGATAGTCCTCATGGACCACCTTCTTCTTTCCACCACTGGAGGTCACTACCCCATCACAAGCTGCATCCAGGCTGTCATAAGCAGCCAGGGAAGACAAGGGAATGGGGGCTATTCTGCTTGCCTCAGTTTTGGGATGGAGGTGCTGAAGCGAGGCAGTGCACAAAGCATTTGTCCATTTCTTCCTCCATAGTCCCCTCTGGCCACTCCTTGCTACCTAATGGGACCATGTGGGTGGGGTAAGGGATTGTCCCAGGCTTTACTCACTTCATGGGCTTGAAGAGGGCCTGCCCATAATTTGGGAACGTCATGATGAGCTTGAGCTGGGTCCCGCCAGACTTCTGGACTGAAAGGAGGCACACAGGGATGAGAGAGGCAGGCAGCAGGCAGTGGGGCAGGGGTGTGGACAGGGGTGTGGGCAGGGAGATGGTACCTGAGCTGATGATCCTCTGTGTGGCCAAGTCCTGGAGGAGTGTGGGCAACAGGGGGTCCCAGCGGGGGTACAGCTCATAGCGGTTGATGCCAACATGGAATTTGAGCCAGGTGGGGTAGGTGTCATAGGCCGTCTTCCCTGTCGGGAGGAGCGTCTCGGCTTTACTGCTGCTGACCCTGCAGCCCGACAGCCACCACCACCCAACAACAACAACAGCTTTTAGTGGAATGGGATCTGTCCTCAGTCCCCAGGCACTTCCCAGGAGCCAGTGTGTGGAGGGTAAGCCATGGGGAAGGCCCTGCACAAGCCCTGTGTGAGTTCCAGGTTTCGTGGTGGCAAAACCGGAGCACAGGCTTCCCAGCCATCCTCAACACTGAACTGAACTCCCACCCCCAACAACCCATTCCCCTTGGACAGGTTTATCACACACCCTTGGTTTCCCCGGGGGGATAAGTTTGGGTTAGCACTATCCCTGTCTCTCTGCATCCTGCAAATTGGCAGTTAGCTGGCATTCAAAGGAGCTTGTGGGAGTATCTGCCCCCCTCTGTGCTAGCACACACTGGCACTGCAGTGGGACAGTTAGCCCAGGACATCTATAATCCAAATCCATGTCTCTCTCTAGGAAAACAGACTGTGCCTCAATTTCATCAAACCAGATCCAAGGTTCTTCCATAGGTGAGATGGTCCTCAGAAACAAGGCAAATGCCATTTGTGGAAACCAGCTCTTAAACCAGCTTTTCTTCTCTCCCAAATTTAGCAGGCATCACTTTTGGAAGGTGTGCTTTCCATAAGGAAGCTGTTACAACGCTAAAGCTTTTAATATCTTCCATTCTAATTAGAGGTTAGTAGTCCAATGATAAAAATAGGCAGCCGGCAGCAGTGAGCTCAGCATACAGCCGAGCCTAAAGAGGTCAGGAGATATTCTGCCAAATGCAGGATGGGAATGGTCTCACTGTTAGAGATAACCCACATTGCAGGCTTTGCATCTTCAACATATCGGGAGAGGGGATAAAACTGTTTAGAAATCTGGACTGGGGACTTCCTCATATACAGAGAGAGGGACCAAAGGCTAGTCTGCACTGGGGAAGGGAAGGAGACCACCCAATAGATACCCTACATAATACAATGAATAATTCAAGAATCTCCTTTAGCTTTGCCATGTGCTACAGGCTTATGAACAGCAGCCCAAAAATTCAGGGGTAAGAGAGGATTTGAGGTATGAGAAGAGCATGCTCAGTAGTGGGGGCCCCTCCAGGGGAGGATGCTGCTCTCCGTAGGGAAAGTACATATTTGGTACCCACTGCTTGACCCCTCAAACCCACTTATCCCCCAAAAGCAAGCTAGGGTTGAGCTTGCTCCTCACCATTCGTCACTCTTGCTGCTGCGCAGGCTGAACTTCTCCATGGGGTTGACGACAAACAGCTTATCTTTCTCTGTCACCTCTGGGATTGGAATGTTGTAAAGAGGATGCTCAAAAAGTGCCGCCAGCTTTGATTCCTTGGTCCGTCCCGCATTGCCACGTTCTTGTTGGTGCTGGACCCACAGCTCTCCAGTCCTTGTGTGCAGCCCTGCTCCCTGTAGCTGGGAGGTTTTTTCCAAGGAGCTGTTGCTGCCACCAAAATCCTGAAGGATTCGCAGGCTCAGCTTTTTGAGGCCGGACAGCATGGGGCTGCCTGACGGGACACCTGTGGCTTTTGGTGCTTTTGTATTGCAGCTGCAGGGCTTGTGGGCTGCAGGGAGAGCAAAATCCATCACCAAGTGCACGAGGAGGGCCAAGAGCAGAAGAAAGAGAAGACTGATTTTAAATTTCCTTTGGAAAAGTGTTTGCAGCCGGCGCCACATCCTTCCTCGCCCAAAACACTCAGCAAGGGGTAGGCACCCACCTAGGGTTAAAAGAGTTGGTGTGGCCACAGCCCCTGTGTAAAAATAAAAGAGAGGTGTCCTGGATTTAGAGCATCGCAGCAAGAGAGCAACTGGTGCAAGAGCAGAGTCACAGGACAGATCTGCCAGGGCGGCACTCACAGAGTGACACCACCAGGATGGGACAGGAGGTTGTGGCGGGGTTTATCAGTGCTGATAAGGGTCAAGCTGGCACTGCCAAGGTTAGGGTGAACGGGGCAAGTTCCAAATCAATAGCTGCAAAGCTGGCCCAGGGGCAGCACTGGCTGCAGTTGACCCCCTCACTGTCCTGTCTCTCTGTGCTATCACCCACACGGGGCTGCAGAACATTTCCTGGCATACACGGCATTAAAGCAGTTCTGCCCCTCTGCAGCACCCACCCTGCCAAGCACTATGCAGCTCCATTCCCCATGTGCATCACAGCCTCACACTCAGAATCCAGAAGAATCTTTTTCCTGCTGCTTAGCCAAAGCAATTTTATCACCCTCCTTCATCCATTCAAAATCAGTTGTACTAAATACACCTATGAAAAACCACTCAAATGGCATAAAACAAAGGGAATGTGAGTATCAGCATTGCCGGGAAGGGAAATGGTGGGCTGGCAGTGTAAGGAAGGGTTACCAAGCAGGGTAGGTTCATGGGTAGGGATGCTCCCAGAGCCTCTAAAGCAGGTGGGGGAGGCAGGCAGGTAGGCAGGAGTGGGGATGCTGCCTTGGACACCACCGCAGAGGGGCAGTGGGACCTACTAAGCATGGGGAGCACTGGCAGCTTGTGGAAGGGAAGGGTAGCCCAACTTTACAAGAAATTCCCTTTCTCAGTGACACCCAGGGACACAGAGCTGGGCTGCGTGCACACAAATGGCTCATGACTTGTAGGGAGGGAACTTTGGATTTGCTAAAGGACAGAGAAGCACAGGACCACCTGCAACAAGCCTGGGGGCTTGGGTACAGAATCTGGCATTATGTTTCTCCTTTCTTTGATTTCCCAAAGGATGCAGAAGGCATGTGAAATCCCATACATCATGTGATCCTTCCTTGCTGCATGTTGCACCAGGAGCCAGCTTGGAAATTCTCACTCCAAGCCAGAGAGGGTATGATGATCAGTGGACAGGGGGAGATATTCTGGAGACCCCTTCCTCTGCTGCCATCCCTGCACTACCCTCTCGCTCACACTGCCCTCTCCACACCATGCTGTGCCGTGTCAGGCTCGGTCCCCTCCCAGGCGGTGCGCTGAGAACGCGGTGTTCCCGGTGTTCTTGGCTCGCGTGTCCCACGGCGCGACAGTTGCCTGGAAACCGCCTCCGGCTGACACCATCAGCCGCCCCAGATTCAGCCAGCCCCGTGTTCCCTTCCCCGTGCCTTGCGCTGACAAGATGGCCGATGAGAGCCGGGGCAAGCGAGGAGGAGGAGAGCTTTCCAGCCCGGCTGGCGAGCCCAAAGCCCCACAGAAGGAGCTGAGTGGAGGGAAGCAGATGGCTTCCTTGGGGAAGGGAACACGGCGTCTTGCTCTGGGAAGTTTGCTGGATCCAGTCCAGATGCACGATTTGGAAAGAAGGCACCTAGGAGGGGTGGTAGCTGGTAACTGGAACATGGGATCATTAGGTCATTGCTTAGGGCGGAAAAAAACAACAACAAAAAAACAAACAAAAAACCCCCAAACCACAAAACCCCCACCAAAATCCATGTACTAACTGATTGCATCAAAGGAGCTGAGCTCAGCTCCCAGAGCAGGGCCAGAGATTTCTTTATTCCAGATCCAGCCCTGGGAGACTGAGGACAGAGGGAGACCCCCCTCCTTCCAGTGTCCCAAACCAGCTCCAAAGTGGGCTGGAGGGGATAGAAACCTCCTTCCTATGTCCTAGAGTCAGACAGGCACAGGGACACTATGGGCTGAAGCCACCCTACTGACTGTGAGTCCCATCCCAGGGAAGCTTACAATCCTACCCCCCTCCCTGATTTAGCATCCCATTGGAAAGCAGAGGCAGGGGGCTTAGGTGGGGCACTTGCCACCCTTAGCACTTCAATGGAGGCATAAAATATTAACCAAGACATTTTTCAGCGAGTCAGACACGAGCCTGCAGCAACGGGGAAGAGCTGGAGACCTTCAAAGCCTGCCCCAGTCGCCTGACAGCACATCGATGTACCTTGTTGCCATGACATCATCACAGTGAAGCGGTAGAGTTTGCACTTCTTTCTTCTCATCTCCCCCCTCCAGCTCTTCCTCCATCTTCCCAGCAGGTTCAAGTCACCCTTGGGGCAGAGGAGGAGCCCTACATCTGAGGACATTTTCACTGCAGGCTCCAAGTCAGGACTCCCTGGCAGCTGATAATGATGTTGCCCGTCTCCCCTCAGCAGGGAGGGATGAAGTCATGAAGCACAGCCCCCTGAGCTGCTATCACAGCTTTACGGGACGGGGAGATAGAAAGAGTCGTTTGGCTGGCACCCATGCATCACCCTGCGGTTTTTATCTCATTTTCTACATCTGACTCACTCTGATGCTTTAATGGGTAATGGCAGCAATATGCAGGGGGCAAGAAATGAGAGGGAAACACAATAGCAAGCCAACTGTTGCCAACTTTCCTAGCTTTCTGCTGAAAATTCATAAGGTAAAATCCTCCAGCAACAGACTGCACTTTTATAGTCAAAAGCAGAGAGGCCCCAGAGGCTCCACCATAAATCATAGTTTGGGTTGGAAGGGACCTTTAAAGGCCATCTAGTCCAAGCCCCCTGCAATGAGCAGGGACACCTTCAACTAGATCCGGTTGCTCAGAGCCCTATCCAGCCTGACCTTGAACGTTTCCAGGGATGGGGCATCCACCATGGCTCTGGGCAACTTGTTCAGGGTGTTTCACCACCCTCATTTTAAAAGACTTCTTCCCATATTCAGACTTGAACAAACCTCTTTTAGTTTAAAACCTCTACCTCTTGTCTTATCACAACACGCCCTGCGAAGAAGTCCCTCTCCAGCTTTCCTGTAGGCACCCTTTAGGTATTGGCAGGTGCTATAAGGTCTCCCTGGAGCCCTCTCTTCTTCATGCTGAACAACATCAACCCTTTCAGCCTGTCCTCATACCAGAGGTACTTCAGCCTTCCAATCATCTTCGTGGCCTCCTCTGGTCCCGATCCAGCAAGTCCATCAGCCACAGAGGAGTCTCTTGTGGAAAACACAGAACAAGGGACCATTTCTGATCCGTAAACCTTACTCCCCTGAAAATTATAGGTATGCCCAAAAATGTGCCACATCTACAGCAAAAGGAGGACAAAAGTCTTTCTTCTAGCACACGGGGACCAGCACAGCATGGCTCAACTTGCAACAGGCAGGACAGTCAATCTTATTACCTTAAACACTTGCTTCAGAGCAGCGGCCCTGACACACGCAGCTGAATTTTGGGAAGCTGAGGCTTGTGCTTTCATGTACAGAGCCAATGACAGGCCTGGAAACCAGCTAACAAGGGTTGGCCTCTTCATGGTAACTTCCTGTGGGAAAGCTGTTACCCTCGGAAACAAAAATAGCCTGCCACTCTCCTGTGAGCCACCTTGCACTTATCTTGGGGGAGTGGCAGTGTGGGAGCTGCCTTGCTGCACATTCGCACCTTGCTCAACTCAATCTGTTTGCACACCTAAGCTTCAAGAAGGCTGGGGAGCAGTCACCGCTACTTTGTTGCCGAAGGGGGTCACGAAGACACTAGCTTTGGTCAGCTGGTGGCCAAGGAGATAACAAACAGGCAGCAGCCAAAAGGTTGCATACTGAGGTAAACAGCTCCCTGTGGTCATCTGCAGGTCACCACGACCCTGCAGAGATGCCCATGACCAGCATGTCTGTGCATATGCACACAGCAGTTAATTATTCATTAGTCTGAAAGAGGCATGATTAAAGCAATTGTGGTATGGCTAAGGGTATCATCATGCTCCAATGCTGGGCATTCCAAAGACACTGGCTATACCTTTTCCTCTGAATCTAGAGGAGATAGAAAGTTGTGGAAGAGAGAATAATCTTTTCCACCTGCCAGCTGCAGAAAGCGCCAGTCAATAGCACTATCTTCATGTAATGGCAGCCAGCTGGAGCGAGACAGAGCAACCACATCATGAGACAGCTCGAAGGATTTGGGCTCTTCTACGCAGCACAGAAATCCTGATCACAGGCCAGGTATCATGGTACTAACTACCTTATAACAGTAGTTTTGTGTCCCTCCCACCTCACAACTCCCTTCCACCTGATCAGTGAGGAATTACGTGAGAGGACATTAGTCCCAGCCAAGCACACACGGTCCAAATTTGAAATAATTTCCAGTTGTTTTCATATTACTCCAATTTATGGCTTATAGAAGAGCTCCTGACACGAAATGTAAGAAGGACATCTCTAGTGTAACACTGAGGTTCAGAAAAGGAACAAAAGGAATTGTAAAAGACCCTCCACCAGCTTGATCCACTGCAGGCACTAAGGCAAAGAGATCCTTCCATCTTGAACTATGCACTAGAGGTGCCAGCTGGCAACATTCTGAGAGGAAATCTGAAAATAAGGAAGCCACAAATATGAGACTCTGAAGATTAGAGCCAAAGCGCACCAGCTGACCAGCAGACACAGGTATGCTCCCTTGCTGCTACTGCTTAGACAGCTGCGTAGACTGGGGGATTTGTCCAGCAGCACTGTGGGCCTGGCAACCTGCCTCAGCACAGTGATTTGCACTGGTAAAAGGAAATGAACAGGGAGGGTGAGAGGCACACAGAAAACTTGCAGGATGGAGATCTGTCACTGTCCTCTGCCTGTGCTACACCATTGTGTACTTATTTCCATGTTTCTTGAACTACTTTTCCTACACAAACACACACACACAGACATTTTGCTAAATTTTTATTGTAAAAACACAGTTCCCCAGATTTATATAAATAAGCCACAGACGTAACATACAGTTACGTTCATTCCATCCTCCAACACCGACAGCTTTAAAAAATGAAACAGGCTAAAAGAATGCAAGTCCAGAAAGACATTAGGTTTCCGATGACCAAGTTATATTTCGCATGGAGCCTCCTTCCTCTGCCAGCCCCAAACAAGATGCTGAAAGTACACAGCACTTGCAACACCCCCAGGAATTGACGGGGAGGCATTTGAGCCTTAAAAAGAGCTCTCACCCACTCCCCAGGCATCATCAGCTGCCTGTGTTTTCATGCTGTCTCAGTGCACTGTGGGTGAGAAAGGAGGGGGCAGTTTGCATAGCAACCTCCTACACCCAGGCAGCTCAGCTGTTGTACCCTCCCAAAAGCAGCGGGGAAGGGCGAGCTGGGACTGCTTCCCTGTGGCTCACACCTCCACGGGCAGCCCGAAGGGAGACCCTTGGTGCTGCCAGGTCTGCATGGACATATTAGAAGTGAGAAAGAATGTATGAGCAGCATTCAGAGAGATGAAAGACAGGTGCTGGTCAGAACTATACTGCATGGTAGCGGGGAAAGCAGAAGAGAAAAAACACGATGTGGAACAAGTGGGAGTTATAAAAACCATAGGGCTAGATAGCACCTCTTCTCTTTTGCTGACCCTTGCTAGTGCTGCTGTGTGGCTCTGCAGCATGTCATGAGTTTAACTATCCTCCACTTCCCTTCTGCTTTGGCTCAAACACCAAGGAAAGAGCCACAGACAGATGAGAAATCCCACAAGCTAGGACAGGACAGCTTAGCCAGTTCACACACACACACACACACACACACACACACACACCCCCACACACACCCCCCAACTATATGTATCCTACGGAACTGTTACATCAGTATGAAAAAGAGAAATCTTGACATTTAACTATTAAAAATAAAGCCCCACCTCCAGATTGTAGAAAACCTGTCAAGAGAAGGACAAATCTCTTGTATTCAACAAGTCTGGGACACAGACAGGGGTCAGGAACACTTCCAGACACACACGGCCAGGCTGCCACCAAAGAACATGTACAGCAGATTCTTCACCTCGTGAGTGATCTCAAAGCCAAAACCTTCCCCAATCACCACGTGCCAGGAGGACCCAAACCTCTTGTCCATCGTCTCTTTGATCATCTTGGCAGCACTCTGGTGAACATTAAGGCAGAGAGGATAGGGTGAGATAAAGCAACCAATGAGGTTTTATGCAAACATCCCCCTAGTCTTCTCCCTTGACAGACTACTCAAGCCATGAGCAACAGGTATAGCAGCTGCACTGCAGGAACGGGGAGCTGCCCAGAGGTACACCCAAGGGTAAAACAGGTCTCAGCAGCCTCCAATACAGCA